ACCAGCTCTCCAGGTGATTCTGATACACTTTGAAAACCACTGGATTAGATAATCAGTAGATTTCCCTCCGGCTCTAAAATAGAATCATTCTTGGACCTCAAACAGGCTTTTCAAGGACTTTCGTTATTGGGTCTTAAACAGACTAACAGTATAAGCTCTTCCCAGATTTAAATCCTTAATTGCTGTGCACTCTTAAGGAATTATTTTAGCTGTGTTTCACGTTCTCATCTATAAAATGAGGATAATAATAGTACCTATTCTCACAGAGTTGCTATGAAAATTAAATGATTTTGTGTATGTAACTGACTTAGCAGAATGCCTGAGATGTATTTCAGATCATTACCCAATTGTCACTCTTGCAGTGAGGACCTCATGGCCACTCTGTCCAAAATCACAACCCACCTTTACCATTCCCTTTTCCCCCTCCCCTGGTTTATTTTCCGCCTTTGCAATTATTATTCTCTAACATATAACATATATCTAATTGCTTTATTATCTGCCTTCTCCCACTAAGATGTAAGTTCTATAAAATCAAGGATTTTTGTCCATTTTGTTAAGAGCTGTATTCCCAGTGACTAGTCAGGGTCTGGTACATTGGATGTACTCAATTGGTATGGTAAAGGAATGAATAAATGTTAATGATTATCAATATTAATATTATAGCAATCCAAATTTTTCTTATTGAAACACAATAGCTTATGCTTCCCATTTACTGTTCCAAATTATGCTTATGTCTTATTACATGCTTTATGCAAATTCTGTCCCATACCTAACAATGCCTTCCTATTTAACTTCTGCTCATTTTAGACCCTGCTCAAATTCTATTTCTTTAATACTCCCTGACAATTCTGATGACTAACTCTCTGAATATCTATAGTGTTACTGTCTATACTATACAATAGCACTTAACATATCTTAATTAATTACCAGTGGAAAGAGTAACTTTACTGAAATTTAAATTTACTGAGAGAGGCTGTATCCGTCATGCAATAAGCATTCATGAAAACTGACAGAGGAAGGAGTCCCCAGGAAAAATTCACCATTAATTAGCCATGTAGTCCTCAAATAACAAAAACAGTGCTCTATGTTTTACAAAGTACCTTTAAATACATCAGTCTTGTTTTGACTAGGAGACTATGTCTCCTTGCTGTCAAATTTTCAAAATATTTTCAAGTATGGGGAGACCATTTTCTTGAAGTGAAAAATTAAGAATAATGAAAGTCAAAATTGAAGCAGATAATGACCCAAGAAGTTGTTGAGTTCAGAGAATGCAAATTAGTGGCTTTTCTGGCCCCTATCTTCCTGTCATCTATGTCTGGAAGAGGTCATCCCCAATGTGGCCCTCTAAGGCAGCCATTACCAATTGGTCAGACCTAGCAGACAAGGGGACACCTATTTCCATCCTAACAGTCTAAACCCCTTGGTTCTAAAAGCAAAGAAAACTGATGCTAAGAGATTTAAATTGACTTGTCCAGGCACATACATGATAGCAGACCAAGACCAGAACCATCATCCTGACTCCTCTCCAGAATTCTCTCTACTCTCTCTCCTCATTCATTTCTGAAATGCAGTATTTAAGTTTCCATTCTAAAGCAATCAAAATACAGACAGCAAATCTTTGACAGAGAGTTTTCATATTAATGCTCATGAATATAACGTTGAAATGAAAAATGACAGTTTTGAGTCAAGTGATAGAGCTGGTTAGTCTCTTATTTTTCAGTTGGGTTTATTTACTTAAGCCTAGAATGTGTCATGACTGGAAATAGACAAAACAGATTATTTCCATTCCACTATCCTAGAAAAAGAAAAGGGAATAGTTTTCATTAAATAACTGGGCTCAAATCCAGTCCCAAAATAACTTACACTACTGAATCAACTTTTAAAAGGTGCTATTTCTCTCATTAATGGCAACACGTTATTAGGAGTTCAGCTTAATCACTAAATTTAAATTACAAGAAAAATGTATTTAAAGGAATATGAAAAAAGAAAATAATGGAAAGAAATAAACATCTATTTTAATATAAATAATGACCACTTCCTCAGCACAGAAAACATGCTCACATTTTAGAATTATAATTTTCCAGGGGCGCCTGCGTGGCTCAGTGGATTAAAGCCTCTGCCTTCGGCTTAGGCCTGGGATCGAGCCCTGCATCGGGCTCTCTGCCCAGCAGGGAGCCTGCTTCCTCCTCTCTCTCTCTCTCTCTGCCTGCCTCTCTGCCTACTTGTGATCTCTATCTGTCCAAAAAAAAAAAAAAAAAAGAATTATAATTTTCCAGATCCTCTCCCTAAAGCACAGTTTCCAAATATTGCCATCGCCTTCACAACTTAGTTGGAATGAAACTGACATCAAATTTTTGCCTAGCCATTTGATAATTCTGTCTTGATTAACCCTTATTTTTAGGTATACTATAATTGAAGCTGATTTGGGGGGAGAAACCATCATCTAACACAGTTAGAAATTGCCTCTGGCACTGTTTGCTTTACCCAAGGAAACCAGGATGACAACTGGCAGTTCTGTTACTTTGCAGAGTTAATCCATTTTCACAACTATGTTACTTAGTAGTAAGGTACCAGCAGTTAGTCCCATACTCTATCCTTCTACCCTGAGAAAATGAGTCTGACTCATATTTAAGGGTAGGATGAGGAAAGGAGCAAATATGTGAATCTCTTCTCTTCGACACAGACCCTGCCACCACACCAGAGGAGGAGGACTGTATGCTGAAACTCACAGAGGAAGTTCAAGGCCTGTACTGCCCCTGCTCCACAAAAAAGGGCAGTCAGTTAGAGGATTCTCCTAGGGTATAGATATACAGGAACAATCCCAATGGGCCTCAGAGAAATCTAACCACAAACTGATGCTTGCTAAGAGCCTCCTGGTAAAACTGGAGTGATTTTCACCTCAACCCCCTTTGATGGGATGCCAGGGTGGCTCAGTCAGTTAAGCGTCTGACTTTGGTTCAGGTCAGGATCCCAGCATACTGGGATCAAGTCCCATATCGGGCTCCTTGCTCAGCCCTGGTAGTCCGCGAATTTGGTCAAAACAAAATGAAACCAAGAGCTCTGGTCAGACCCCATCATGTTAGCCCAGGCATGGATCCTGAAAGCAAAAAGAATACTCAAGAGAAACCATGACTTCTAGAAGAACAGTAGTTCCCAAGACATGTTTGTGAAACACTGGAGCACTCTGATTTTTGGCTTAGGCATTCCAAAAATTCAGAAATCACTTCCCCTCCGGCACATTATTGAATATTTTTTAATCAAGGGGACAAGTACCCTACCTAACTTAGAAGAAATTAGTTTCTAAGACACCATTCACAATATGGAAAATTCTTTAAAACACTGTTATTTACATAATTAAAGCCCAAATTTCTTGAAAACTTACTGTATGCTAGTTCATCCAACACAATAAACAGAGAATAAATTTGAGTTGGAAACACTTGCTTTGTTATTAGTTTTGTCATTCCTAGTGACCATGAGCAGTACTGTCATTAAGCCCTTGTTTTCTCTTTTATAAAATAATCATAATAAAATGTATTTCACAGCTTATTCTGAGATTACATGAAAAACACTGGAAAAGGCATAAAAATGACTGGCCCATGAAAGAAACTAAGTAAATAATTTTCTTTCCCCATTTCCTTTTTTTCTTATAAAGAAGATATCCATGTTAAAATGTTTTTGGGTGCTGTATATGGTTTAAAAAATTAAGTAACAAGAGAGTAGGGGCACCTGGGTGACTTGATCAGTAAAGCACCTGACTCCTGATTTCAGCTGATCTCAGGGTGGTGGGTTTAAGCCTCTGCATCAGCGAGAGGTCTGCTTGAGAGTCTCTCTCCCTCTACCTCTGCCCCTCCCCCTACTCACGTGCTCGCACGCACACACTCTCTCTCTCAAATAAATAAATCTTTTTTAAAATTTTTAAAAAATAAAAAATCAAGTAGCATGCCAGCATTTAGATAAGTCTATGAATTATAGTTTATATAACTAATCTGAAGCAGCTACTATTCATATATGTAATTATATACAAAATTTCAATGAATAACTCTGCAGTCCTCTAGCTGAACAATTCAAATTGGCAGCATCATCTGGATCCCTTTTCCCAGAAATATAGTGCAACTGTATTTTTCTTCCAGTCAATCCCACTCTGTTAGAAGGGAAAGAGGGAGGATCTACCCCTGTTCCGTTGAATAATGGCAATATTTTATGGCCTCTTTTCCATGGAGTCCTCTTCTTTTGTGTTAGATTAACATGCACCTCTCAAAGTATTTCTGCTAATCTGTCTTCCAGAGCCTGCTTGTGGGCCTATGATACTACAAATACAGCAAGGCAGTGTTAGGAGCAAATATGTACAGTCCTGCAAAAGAAATTAATAAAAAGAGGGGAAGCACATCATGTTGGATGCATCTAAGAGAATAAGCAGTAACGGTCTCATGGCCAAGAACAACAGCAGGCCGGTCCATCTGTCCATCATGAAACTAAGTTGTGCCTACTAGTTATCAATAGGAGGTGGCCATGCGGGCCTCACACTAAAATAGAAATTCTGTCATCAGGAAGATAAGGTGAGGAGGGAAGAAAAGGATTAACTGTTTCAGAATCAATTTCTGGGTGAGCATGATGAACACAAAGAATTACCACCTGTTTCTTATTCGCAGACTATGAAATTCTTATTCATCCTGTTATTCTTTCATTAAGGATTTTCTGAGTGCTTTCTAGAAGCCAGACACAATGCTAGCCACGATGGATCCAAAGAATAATTTTCTGGGGTGCCAGGCTGGCTCAATTGGTAAGAGCTCGTGACTCTTGATTTTGGGATTGTGAATTTGAAATTTTTTTCATGGGGTGTAAAATTTTTTTCATTAAAAAGGGATTAAGTTCCTTCTTTTAGGAATTCTGCTTCATGAAAGAGACAGAGAAGTAAACAAAAAATTATAAAACGGAAAGATGACAGCCAATGTGTATACAATATGGGGTGGGAACCCAAAGAAAGTAGTCATTAACTATGCAAAAATATGCCAGCTTCACAAATTTGTGAGTCTGCCTGGCACAGGAGCTATGCTAATCTCTGTAATATTTCAGTGTTGTTATGTGTGCTATAGAAGTGAGGTCAACCAGAGAGATAGAACAGAAAATCTAAGAACAAAGAGAAGGGTCTCAAACAACTTGTTTGCCTTAGGGTGGAAGAAAAATTGTTACCACCTTTACTTTCACTATCGCAGTCCTTTTTTCTTAAGTATGTGTGTTTGCTAATTTTTATATGATTTTTAATCTTATCAACTCTATCTAACCATATCCACTTCTATTTTCTCTATGTTTGAGAGTGTGACCACTGGGCAACAAATAGATACAGATATGGATATACATGTAGATCATTTGTCAATGTTAAAGATAAAACCGGAAATAGCATCTTGGCTTCAAGAAATATGAGTTACAGTATGATTCTTAAGTTTTACAATAGAACATTTTCATTAAGGGCAATTTCTAACAGAAGAGTGACTCTAAGGCATAGCATTTATTGACATTTAGCCAAATTAAGATGTTCATACAATAAATGCTCAGTGTGCTTTAAGGTCTACTATTAAAAGCTTCCTTTCAAATGCAGAATTGAATGAGGAGTGAATTGAGGCATTCCCATTTAAGCTAAGGTGGACATTCTGAGTCAACTAGCAGCTTGAAAATTCAATTTAAATATTTGCTGGTTTTGTTGCTAATGTGCACTTGAAAATACAAAATTCACATCAGTTTCACATCAGGTGAAATTTGAAATTTGGTGCTAGATTATTTGCCCTTTGATTATCTCTGGCATTGGCATTCCTCTTTGTTGTCCCTGAAGCCATGCTCCACCTAGAGCTACATGCATAAAAAAACTAATGTTCCCCTCTCTAACCCCTCGCCCGTCACAGGAGCCAATGGCACATTCTGGAAATGAAGCACGAGCCATCAGCGACCAGGTACTAGCACCAGGCTCACCCAGAGTCAGGATCGTCCTTGAAGAACCCCCTCCAAAGAATAACAGCCATCACTCTCCATGCCTCTGTCCTGATATCCTGTCCTGGTGGCCACCAAAACTGAAATGCCCTATCCCCTGACAGACTCAAAAGAACAAAATCACACTGTTACCGATAGAGATCAATCTGACAAACACAAAAGCCTTAAATTTTATCTCTAATCTCGACTTCAGTCACCTAATTGGCCTTTGGGACCTGCCAAAATTTCATTTGTACCTTACTTGAATATCGTGAAAACTACAGTGCCCATTTTGAGATATTTGTTTAATACCTATCAATTCTGTATAAGTAATTTTTGGTCACTTGTTCTCAATGTGCTTCTCTTATGGTTATGCCTAGCACAGCTTCACTGGTCATTTTGTTTACGGGCTATTTTGTACTGATGGCGGTGGTGTTGGTGACGCTGTAGCTTCTCTCCTCTACTCTAACAAGTGGACAAGTATTGTCCTCTAAATGGACACGTTTTTGCCAGGATCTATGCTATCCCCTACAGACTTTGGCTACAGATGTCTAATCATCATCGGTTGTTTTCATTTATTACATTAAAACCTCCCCCAAAATGGGTTAAAAAATAAAAAGTAAGTGTCCTTACAGAGTGATTTGAGTAATGACTCAAGCCCAAGGAGTTTGACTTATAAATGCTATAGAGAAAGTCATTTATTAATTTACAGTCTAAGGCCTGGAGATGGAGGCTGACAGAAGCATTGATTAGTGGAAGTGAAAAAAGTGGGTATTACGGTGAATGAAATGGTTTCTTTCCGGTGGTGGAAGTTGTGATGCCTCTTCCAGATCATCGGTAGCCAATATTCAGAGGAGAGAGGTAAATATTAAATGAGCAACAGGCAAAAGGGCTCGGTAAAACTCAGCGTACTTGTGCCTCATGACTCCAAAGATCCAGGAGAATACTAATAGTATGGCTTTGAGAAATTATTTTTTTAGAGCACTGTTACACATGGTAGCAATGCTTTGCTCTTTGCTCATATAAACCAATCTAAACTACAGTGTTGTTGAAGTAAAATACAGCCCTAGTAATTCAATTTCAAACACATTCAACCTTTTGTAACACACTTCTGAATTATGGTTTGTGGATAATTGTAAAAACCACCATTTCTTCAGCATATACATACTACCTCTCAGGCCTTGGTCGATGTGATAATTACTGATGAGCAAACGGCCTAAAAGACTAACGTCATCTGTCCCAGACATGAGTATGTTAGTAACACTGTACGTCTGCATAAAAGAAAATGTCCTGTGAGTTGGCTATTCCCCAGTTCTCACACTCGAGGAACAGCTGTCATCCCCACTCACAGGGCCAATCTCTGGACACGCAATCCCCAGGAACACGTTCATAGGAGCAGGGGTTCCTGTCGGTGGCCAGCCACATACTACAGTGCATTTACAGCCTTCAGGAACCTACACACACTTATTCACATTCTTGGACCCCTTTTAAGCATCTTGTTAGATCTTTAGATCCTATTTTTAATAACCCTTTTAATCTTTTCAAAATGCTCAGCCAAAGACCAGAGCCACAGCTTAGCTTTAAGCTACACATCCTAGATCTTCCATTTTAATTTGTACTCAGGCAACAATGTGCTCTTTCTTCATAGCTAGGAATAGATTTTCCTTCATGAAGGAATAAAATGTGCTCTTAAGGAAAACAGTGTTCATTTTCAATAAACATTTACTAAGTAACTAGCTTTTCGAAAGTAAAAGGCTAGGCCTGAAGAGGGTAAAAAAGATAGATGAGACCCAGTCTGTGACTGCCAGGAGCTTAAAACCTAATTACGGAGATAGAAATAGTAGGAATCGGGGTTAAAATTTGAAGTGGAGCCCCGTGGTCCCTCTCCAAGGAACAAGTGACAGCGTGTTGCTTCTCTAAGGAGCGAAGCTCTGGAGGTGTCACAATACGAGAAAGGGGGCTGAAAATAATCATCCTCTGAAATAAAGGTTAACGATTCCAGTTCTAGCAATAACTCTTCAGGTGGGGGAACAACACAGGAAAAAGGGAACCATACTCAAGAAGTGACTTGAGTATGTGTGGGGGTGAGCATTTACAAACCACGTAGCCCCCGCTCCCCACACCTGCCCCAGCACCCCTGCTCTTAGGAGGCCCCAGGCACAGAAGAGAGGGTATCTTGCGTCTCAGAGGTCTTGAGCTAGGAAGAGAACCATAACGTCTACCACGCTGCAGGTTTTCAGGTGCAGCTCCTCATGACACTGCAATGTATATTCATTTCCCTACCGTCCTTATTTAATAGTGAACAAATAATATTTTATGCAGAAATCTCGAGCAAGAGGGACTTAACCGGAGTAGGTGATTACCTTTGTCACTCATTAAGAGGCTGTCTCTTCGGGGGATGCCTGAGTCACTGCCAGGTTGAGTTGTTTAGAAAGGAGTCTGTGATAAAAACAAGTATGAAGATGATTATCTAAAGCAAATGATTTTAACTTCTTAAAAACCTACATGTGGGGGAAACTCTCACAACCCTAATTTATACTCCCTAAGAACCAGGAGAATTAGCCTAATGTTCTTCTAACACATAAAATACTGCCTGCATCTACTCTCTTTGAAGGAAACCGTGTTCTCCTCTTTACTACTGGAATAAAATTCTCTCTGCCACAGCCTCCTAAATCTCGGTCCTTATTTTTATTATCTACTCTCACACCTCACACCACCTGTAACACGCATCCCTAGCCAGCTGATTTCTCTATCCTGTCTTCCACTTTTATGCACCTTTTTTTCAACACTCCCATCAGTGCTTTTCTGTTTAGCTGCCACGCTGATCAACAAAGGGGTTGTAGTAGGCAGCATTTTTCTTTTGTGTTGTAGTAGGTGGCATTTTTCTTTTGTGTTTAGTTCTTCTTTCCCTAACGTTAGGCTAAGTATTTTAAATGATTACACAACACATAACTCTTTGCGAAAACTTATTACAAAAAAGTATTTTCTTAATGAAAGGGAAAAGTTAATTTTACCAGGTAGAAAACCACCACTAAAATTTGGTCATTTTTCCTGTCCATCCCTTTTCTATGTATGTCTCTTAACTTTTTATTTTGAAAAACATTTAGACCTACAGAAAAGTTGCAAAAATAGTAAGGACAGTTGTGTATACTCTTCACCCAGCTTCCCCTCTGCTAACATCGTCCATTACACTACAGTATAATTATCAAAACCTTCTATGCATATTCTGACACGATCTATATACCATTTTTATCTAATATATGGTCGTCTTTCTCCAGTTGTCTCAATAATGTCCTTTATAGAATTTGTCCCTCGTCCAGATCCAAGACCACAGCCCACATGTAGGTGGCATATCTTGTTGGTCCCCTTCATCTGGAACAGGTCTTCAAACTTCTCTTTTCATGACAATTTTCCAGAAGTACCAGAGTAGTTATTCTGAAGAATATGGCTTTGGGTCTGTCTAACCTGTTTCCACATGACTAGATTCAGGTTATGCTTTCTGGGCCAGAATACTACAGAAACCATGTTTTAACGTTCTCAGTGCATCACAACGGGAATCAAATCTCAGTGTTTCTGTCATGGGTGATATTAACTTTGATCCCCCAGTAAGGCGGTGTCAGTGAGGTTTCTCCTCTATAAACTACCATTTCTCATTTTGCAATTAATAAGTATTCTCTGCAGAGGTATTCTGTTTATACAAATTATATATGCCGTTCTTTCTCAGACTTTTATCATCCACTAATCATTCTTCTGAGTCAGTTGTTTCCACAATGGTTCCAAAATAGTGGTTTTTTTCTACTTCCATTATTTCTTCTATGTCTATTAGTTGATGTCACCATTCCATTCTCTTAAAGTTCTTGATTCGTATTTGTATTCCTATAAGTATGTCCCAATTCAAGACTTTTCAAGTTGTTTTTAAATCTTTTTTGTTAAATGTTATCACGCTTTAAAAAATTTTACATTCTCAACGTTACATCAAGAAGCCCAGAACTGACATTTCATATTGCTCCATTTAACCCTTTTCCTACCTCATAAAACTGAAATTTCTAAGTCTTGCTTCAAACTTCCAATTATAATCCAAGACTAACTCTGCCTCATGACAGTGCTACTTAATTAGTCCTGGAAAACATCTAACTCCTATC